AAGTTTTGTTGCTCAAAACCTCAAGTAAAAGTCATTCAGCTCATTTGACTTTTGTTGTTCATCCACAGTGATAATAACTTATCCAAATCAACCATTAAATATAGTAACAATATAGTACTCTAATTTGAGTGTTTATAAAAATTAAAGGAATATTACATTTTTAGTAATAGGCCTATTTATTTGCTAATTTGCACGTCAAGAATAGAATGCAGCAGGAGCTAACAAATGACATATTAACAGTAAGCTGTATTTCCAAGGGCATCTGGCACCTATATGTCACAGTTGATTTTGATACTATAAACCCACAAAACAAACACCTAACCAAATTGCACTGCCTGTTTGTAGTTAAATGACATATTAATGTCAGCTGTAGGTTTTGTTAAAGCTTACAGGATAAAATATGATCTGGCAGCAGATTCCCAATGGCATTGTTGAAATGGGCACTACAAACAAATGTACACACACAGACATGCAAATTCACAGGCATGCCTGAGAGCAGGCAGCTGCAGTCCTGGGCAGAGGGGAGTAAATGTTGTGGAAAATATCAGTTTACGAAGAGTTTTAACTGTGTTAGATCCCTTTGTTCCTGTGTCTGCTACCCTGGGACAGCTGCGGCTGGGAGGCTACAGCACAGGCCTAGGGACTTAGATGAAGAGAGATGGTGAAAGAGATTAGTCCAAGACAGAGTAAAAGAGAGATGAAGGAAGGGAGGTAGAGACAACAGACTGAAGAAACTGCTGAACCTTAAAGGAATACACTTTGTTTTGGGGAAGTTCTCTTATTGGCAGTGGCGTGCACAGACTTTTTGATGGGCAGCGGGGGAAAGAAAAAGAAGGGCACATATAAGAGGCAACTTAAACCTGGCGGAAACCCTGATATGCAATGCTAACACAACTTAACTTTACTGGCTAGCTTGGAAAAGCTATTCCCACAAGACGTAGTGAGGTAGCTCCTCCTTAAACATGCAATAGGCATCTCTACCTAATAATAGAACTTAGAAGAGGGCAGTTGAGTGTTTTTTCCACCCAAGAGGGCAATTTAGTGTATTTTGCCTCCCAATAGGACAATTTAGGGAGTTTTGGCTCCCAAAAGAGCACTTTGGCACATGTTTTGGGTCCCAATAGGACACTTTAGCACGTGTTTTGGCTCCCAAGAGGGCACTTAGCACGCATTTTGGCTCCCAAGAGGGCACTTGAGGGCAGTTTAGCACACATTTTGGCTCCCCCCCTTGTGCACGCCACTGCCTATTTCAGAACTTGCCCATGAAATCAGTTGTTCCCAACTGGTTTTGCCTAAGTGCATCAGGAAATGAGACGGAAATAAACAAAGGGCAGTCAAGGAAACAGAAAGCATTCAAATGCATCGCAGCATCTTTATGTCACCTGACATTTGCGCATAAAATGACATGCCATTTCACCAATGTAAGTCTGTAGATGACATTCCCTTTTTTTTTCTTTTTGCATGTAATTTAATAACTCTCAGAAACAAATTGCCTTGTTATTCATACGCCACTTGGTGATACTGCTGGCGACATGTCAACAAGTTTTTCTGATCTGTTGCTGGCTACAGCAGGAAAACTTAATTTGTCTGTGCCTTCTGTTGTTACAAATCACTTTGGAAAATACATCTGTTTTATGATGTTACAGTGCTGTGGTTATGTTTAGTAGGGTTTGGGTTACTGGAACAACTGATGCATAAGGCAACAGTATTATTTTTGGAACACAGCCAGAGTTGACACAGTGAAAGAGTGTAAAACTCTGCTAGGAGCTCTGTGAGGCTCTCAGGAACAGTGGTGCTTTGACCTAAATGCTAACATCAGCATGCTAACATTCTGATCTTTAGCAGATATTTACCGTGTTTACAATCTTATTTTATTGTGTTAGTATGCAAACATTTGCTAATTGGCAGTAAACAAAGGACAGCTGAGAATGGGGGAAATATAATTAGTTTTGCAAGTATTTGGTCATAAACCAAAATATTGGATAAATACAGTGTAAAAGAAGTGGTTACTATCAGGCTTTACATTAGCCGGCACATGCCAGCTTTTGGCTGGTATCATATGTAGTTGTCCGGCAGATGAAAATATCATATAGTTTAATATTGTGTGACCTATAAGCTATGCCAAGATCATTTAAAAGGAAACTTATATTATGCAAAGGTTTAGTGGGGCGGCTGTGTTTCAGAGGAAGAGCGGGTCATCCCCCAATCGGAAGCGTGTTGGTTTGATCCCCGGCTCCTCCAGCCACATGTCGAAGTGTCCTTGAGCAGGATGCTGAACCCCAAATTGCTGTTTTATGTTTAAAATCTCTGGCAGCGGACAGCATGAAATCTGCTGGATCTGATCATCCTGCTAGGAGTAGAACATGAAAGTATAAAACATGATATTTCCTGTTGCCAGTAGGTGGTGCTATCACTATAGCTGAATATAATCACATAGACGTGTTCAGGGCGGGACTCTTATCAAACTTGAAGTTTCATTGAGATTGGACCATGTACACTTAAGTTATGACAGCTTCCTTTTTCATGGCGAATTGTCAAAATTAGACGCAAAGCCAGGGTCACACCGTTCAACGGAATGTCGTAAATAGCACAACTTTTCATCATGAATGTCTTTAGATTGCGCTAATTAAATTTGAAGTTGATCCAGTAAATTCCCTAGGAGGAGTTCGTTCAAATACAACGTATGCAAATCGACGAAAATGACCACCAAATGCAAAATGGGTGACTTCCTCTTGGGTTTGGGTTATGGGTCCAAGAGGCATTTTTGCTTGTCCCATCATTATAGACTGCGTACCAATTTTCATACATGTCAGTCAAACGTGTCTTGGGGGCTGATTCTGGGGGGCGTGGCTAAGCCACTTTGCGACGCCCATGTACAGGACCAAGACAGTACCTTAGCCTTTGCCACGACTGAATTTTGTGCAAAGTTTCATGAGTTTTCAGGCATGTTTAGCCCCCCAAAAAGTGTTAAAATTGTAACAGAAAAGCTGGCAACATGGTTCCACACAAGTTCTTAAGATTCATAAAATGTCATCGTTATCGTCCTAAGGAACTTCTGACAGAATTTCAGCTAGATAAGATAAATCTGCTGGAAGATATACATAAAAGTAAAAAATTACATTTCCTTTCACCACTAGGTGGCACTCTCAATATTAGTGAATATTATCACATAGATGTGTTCAGGGCGGGACTCATCCCTCTTTCATGGCGAGTCGTTGAAATTCCACGCCATGCCACACGCACGTCATTCGACAGAATGTCGTAAATAGCACAACTTTTAATCAAGAATGTCTTTAGTTGGCTGTGTCCAAATCTGAAGACGATCCGATCAATTCCCTAGGAGGAGTTTGTTCAAATACAACGTGCAAATCGGCAGAAATGGCCGCTAAACCCTTTATGGCCGACTGGGTTTGGGATATGGCGTCCACTGGATTTTTTGTTCGTCTAGATAAGATCTACGCGTGTGCCAATTTGTATGCATATCGGTGAAAGGTGCCCCGGATAGTACAGTTTATGGGCCCCTGAGGGGCCATTTTGCCATGCTCATAGTGGACCCCTTGAAAATACGAAAGCGGTTGCTGGCTCAGTCCCTAATAATATCAGTAATATTAGCAATGGGAGTCAAACAGTACCATGGCAGGAGGCTCCACCAGGATCCATGAGAACCTGCGAGACGAGAAAGCACAAGGACTCCAGGGAAGAAGTTAGTAAGATACATTAATGGGACATGAATGTGTGCAGAAAGAGAGGGAGAGGATAAGACGAGCTCAGTGCATCATGGGAAATCCCACGATAGTCTAGGCCTATAGCAGCATAACTAAGGGATGGTTCAAGACTCACCTGATCCAGCCCTAACTATAAGCTTTATCAAAGAGGAACATCTTAAGCCTACTCTTAAATGTGGAGAGGGTGTCTGCCTCCCGAACCAAAACTGGAAGCTGGTTCCACAGGAGAGGAGCTTGGTAGCTGAAGGCTCTGGCTCCTGTTCTACTTTTAGAGACTATAGGAATCACCAGTAGCTCTGGTAGGCAGTGTTCTAGTGGGGTAATAGGTTACTATGAGCTCTTTAACAAATGTAAAATCATATATATATTTAGACTGTTTGTCTTCTAGCGATCTTCATCAACTTCAATAATTTCTCCATTGAAGCCATCAACCTGTCTGTTAGACCCCTAAACCCTAGACCCTAGAACCTCGAACTAGTCTTACCCTTAATTGACAGGGAGCAAGTAACAAATGCATGGATTAGTTTTTCTGCATCCATCCGTGACATGATGTGTTTAATTTGTATAATGTTGCGTAAATGAAAAATGGCAGTCCTGGAGGTTTGCTTTATGTGGGAATTTTAGGGCATATCCTGATCAAAGATAACTCCAAGATTCCTGACAGTGGTGCTAGAGGCCAAGGTAATAACATCTCGAGTAACTATATCTTTAGACAGTGAGTCTCTGATGTGTTTGGGGCCAAGTACAAGAATTTCAGTTTTTTCTGAGTTTAGCATCAGAAAATTGCAGCTCATCCAGGTTGTTATGTCCTTAAGACATGTTTGTAACTTAGATAACAGATTAATTTCATCGGGCTTGATCAACAGATACTGTATACACACAAGTTGTGGTCCATCAAGGATCAAAAACTCACACCATAAGAGCAGTTTTTCTTACCTTATGCTTCTTGACTTTTGCAATACTTGTTTTTCATCTTTTTTTTTTACCTGATTCTGACAATAATCAGCTTGAGGAATCATGTAAGATTTACAGTAGCATGTTTACGGTTTGCTTGTGTTATTCAGTCTACATATGGAAGATATTAACTTCAAGTGGGTTTTCAATTAACCTGCATTATATTTTCTATTTATTTTCATAGTTGCGCTCTCTCAAATCACATTCACTTAAATACACCAGCCATAACCAACACCATAATACTGTGAGGTTAAACTGGTTGACCAAAAGCACTTACAGTACATATTTCCTATCTGTCTCTTCTGTTGTGTGTCTCCTCAGGAATCGCTGTGATCTGAACAGCGAAGATCTGAATCGTCAGTGGTCCAAACCACACCCGGTCCTCAGTCCAACCATCTACCATACCAAGGGTTTCCTGTACTACCTCAACAGTATAGGACGAACTCCACAGGTGAGATACATTATGCTCTTCTATATTTTTAACTTCTTATCTTGATGGACTAACATTACCAAAGTGGTTTACATTGCTTGTAACTGAAACATAAGCTAAGCATAGAAGTTGTCCAACAAATCAGCAAAGGTTGTTTTTGGAACACTAGGGGTGTAACAGTACATGCATTCTTTTATGTCTACTACTGGCACTCATGCAACAGAAATTCGAGAGAAAAGTTTTAGCAGTGCACCAGTCGTTGTCTATCAGCTAGACTCCTTGGCATAACCCAAACTTTCCTCATACATGCTTCCCCTTGGGCACATTATTCATAGACATAATCTCTTTTCATTTTTATGCTGATTATACACAGTTGTACTTGCCTGTTAGATCCACAGACCCTGGAATGCTGAGTTTGCTGAATAACTACCTTTGTGACATAAACAACTAGATGTTAAATAATTTATTTCTGCTAAACTCAAACAAAACAGAGATCCTTGTCATTGGCTCTCACCATGTGTCAATTCTGTTGGTCAGTCTGGTTGGACAGTAATTTTTGAGCAGAACACCACAAAGCTTGGGTATCATGTTTTTAAAATCTAATAATATAATTAAAATATTCAAAGATATGATATCTATTAACATTATAACAGGACACAGGGACCATTTTACATGCCTTAATCTCATTACATCTTATTACCTGCCTGCACCAAAAATGTATTGATCAACTTCAGACTGTAGAGAACAAAAAAAACATCAAGCATTTTACCGTACAAATAAAACAGTCCAGTTTTAGCTTCTTTACATTGGCTCCCAGTATGTTTTGGAGTTGACTTTTAGAGGTCTTCCTTGCCTTCCCCACTGCTATATCCCCAAACTTTTAGTACCGCACAGGCCAGCTCATACTTTGAAAGCCTCGGGCAGAGGTCTTTAGTCTATTTTTTCTATCCAGAGAGGGACAAAGCATTTGCAGTCAGGTGCCTGAGGCATATCAGGCCGGCTGAAGTCCCTTCTTAAAACATCCTTAGCCTTTTCCTAATTTTATTTCCTTTAATCATAAATGTTGTTGTTTTATCTGATTGAAATTTTCTTTTAAACTTGATGACTTTGGGACCTGAGTTTTATTTTATTTTTTGTGAAGCACTTTGTAACTATTATTATTATTATTATTATTATTATGTGTTGATTAGTGGAACAAGATGGTAAATGGTAAATTGACTGTACTTATATAGTGCCTTTCTAGTCTTTTGGCCACTCAAAGCACTACATGCCATACTCACCCCATTCCCACACATTCATACACTGATGGCAGTGGCTGTCATGCAAGGTGCCAACTGCTCACTAAAACAGAAACTAAGCATTCACACACATTCACACACCGATCACGCACAGCATTGGGAGCAATCTGGGGTTCAGTGTCTTGCTCAAGGACACTTCGACATGTAGCGAGAGGAGCCGGGGATTGAACCTTCCGATTGGAGGATGACCTGCTCTACATCTGAGCCACAGCACAACAACAAGACAAAACCAGCAGCATCTCACTGCAAATGCGGACCTACAAGAGTGTTCAGCACTACAATGTACCTTCACCTGTAATAAATAATTGTGTATATATATATATTAATAGAATAATTCCAAATAACTTTATTTATCCCTTAGGAACTTAAAGGTATCAATGCAAACACATCACATAACCAGACAGTCAACAAACAAGGAGTAAGCAATATATATACAAGTGAAATTTAACATGTTTAAAATGTTGGTTTTTAAAATACTTAAAATATTCAAAAGGCCACCAGTAAATATTGTAAAATATTTAAATATTATATATATATATATATATATATATATATATATATAAAATGCCACCAGTAAGACTAGGTATGCCTAGTAATGTCCATAAATAAAATAGTATATGTATGGTTCCACGTCCAGAACAATGATTATGCTGCTCATTCTGATGATCTTGTTCAGAGAGATCTTGTTATATTGAAGGTGATGATGGATTTGATGAAGCACCTATAAAAAGCTAATAAGACAGTTTTGTGAATTGGAAGTTCACAGTTTCCCTTAAGAAGAAGAGGCATTGCTGACATTTGGAGAAGATGATTTCACTGTACTGGTTGAATGAACTGTCTATGTCATTGATGGAAAGCAATGACCAGCTCCTTAGTCTTAGAGGCATTGAGTCTGGAACTGCCCTTTTGATTTAGTGGTATACAGGTCAAAGACTTACAATGAAGCATTATTTCTGTCATTTATTTGTTCATTTTCCTGCCTGACAATACACCAGTATTTGAGTGCATTCACTTTTACTGTAAGAGCTGAGCAGAAATAATGAGCTACTGTTAAATGTTTACACATTGGAACACTCATAATTTAGTAAAAACAAGACTAAAAGTCTAAAAGTCAGACCCAGTCCGTTTCTTTCTTTCCATTTAATTATAATCTGAGCCTATTCCAGCAATCACTCTGATGTTGTTTCCTGATTTCCTTTAAAACACAGAATAAATTAGATTCCAGCTGCAGCAATGAACAATTTGAATAGTTTAAATCAATGGGAGCATAATTAATACAATGAATGCCCTATTATTTACATCTTCCCTCACTATACCTGCAGCCGATAACTGAGGCTGTGGCTCAGAGGTAGAGCGGGTCATCCACTAATCAGAAGTTTGGCGTTTCGATCCCCGGCTCATATCGCTGCATGCCAAAGTGTCCTTAAGCAAGACACTGAACCCCAATTGTCTGAGTGTGTGAATGATTAGTTTCCGTTCTGGTGAGCAGTTGGCACCTTGCATGACAGCCACTGCCATCAGTGTATGAATGTGTGTGAATGAGGTGAGTGCGGCATGTAGTGTAGTGTAGTATAAGTACAGGCCATTTACCATTTACCATTATTCAGCCAGACACAAAGCTGAAAGGTGTAAATGTGCTCTGCATGAGCATATATGTCTGGCTGATGTCAGGCAAAAAATTGCACCTTCAAGCACAATGTGTGCCAAAAACTATCCCACAGTACAGTACAACAGCACTAGTCATCTGTTCCAAAACAGAACAGGAGGCATGGGTAGATTTTAATAAGGGTGTGTACATCTTGTTTCATACAGACATCAATATTGGTATCTTTATATCATAACTACAACCTTTCCCTAATCTTGAAGGCAAACTATGGTTTATTATAACTTGGGTTTTATTATCATGGCCCAGGTCATGGTGTTTATCAGTTATGATTTTATTGGAGGCACCAAAATGATCACACTCAGAAGTAGATGAGCCTTGAGAAACCTTTTGGGGTCCCTCCCCATTGCCACTGTGGAGGAACCTTTTCAGTCTAAAAAGGTTCTGCGAGTGTTTTGTTATTGATTATTGTCTGTACTTCATATATATATATATATATATATAAATGCAATTCATTGTTGAAACAAGTTTATCTATACAATATTGTCAATAACACTAACAGGTCAAGTAACTGAATATAACATACAATAAGAAAGCATTATTAGTTAATTGTTTTGTTTGTGTGGATGTTAAATGCAGCCCTACAAATCTCTGTGTCTCTCCGTGTTGCATGTTCCAGGTCTTCTGTGACTACCACGGCCACTCTAGAAAGAAGAATGTGTTCTTGTATGGCTGCAGTGTTAAGGAGACACTCTGGCAGTCGGGCTCTGCTGTTGACACTGTACGATTGAGGGAGGACCCTGGATATAGGGTAAGAAACACACACAGACAGCCAAATCGGCCATATGCGAGTGTGTGCCAGCCACTTCAGTTTAAAATGCGACGTGGTCTTTATGTCCAATTGGTAGCAGTTAAACCATAGAAACCACCAAGCAAATGTCTGCCAGTCTTTCTGCTTTTGATTGTCAATGTTTCTCTCTTTGCCTCTTCTTTCTCTATCTATCTTTCTTGCTCTAGACCATTCCAAAGACCTTGGATCGCATTGCACCAGCCTTTTCTTTCAACAGCTGCAACTATTTGGTAATATTAATTAACAGTTAAGGTTTTTTTGTATTTTTTATTATTTAAATCATTATCCCACATTTGTCTAAATTATTTCCTTTGACCATTATTGTAACCAGTATCTATGTTATTATTGTAGTTTTATGGATTGTCAATATTATTCTCCTCCTGATTACATTGTAATCATTTTATTATTTAGTGTGTCTTTTTTTTCTCTCCAGTGTTTGTGTTGTAAATATTATTGATATTATAAGGGTTTAAAGCTACAATAGGTAACTTTTATAAAGTAAACTTTTTGTCATATTAGCTATAACTTTCTCCTTTGCTCCTAGTGGCATTTGCAAGAATTCAATGCACCTGAAAATAAACCTATCTGAGCCAAGAAAGATGGTTGATTATTGAGTCTCATTCCAAGGTCAAATACAATTCTTTGGAAGACTCAACAATCAACTATCTTTAAACCACCAACCCAAACCCTCTAGGAATGAGACTCAACAATCAACCATCTTTCTCAGCTTTTTTTCACAAATGTTCTGTCTCATGCACTACTGGCAGAATATAGTGAAAGTTTTGGAAAATATTACAAAAAGTTATTTTTAGTAAAGCTACCTATGGCAGCTTTAACTTGTAAAGTCACAATAAAGAATAATGTGATATTAAAACCAAATCATATTTGATCTGTTTCCAATTTCACCTCCAGATTAATGTCTGATTTGAACTTGTCAGGTGGAGAAATCTCGCTCTGCCACCGCAAGGGTGGTTGTCTGGAGAGAAATGGGCGTGCTGAGAAGTTATACCATGGAGAGTACCTTCAACGGTTGTGACCAGGGAATATACAAGGTCTGTGTGATTGTGTGAAATATGCCTAAAGACACTTGCGACACTATGAGGTCCACTGGTAGCTAAAAGAAGCTCGGACCTCTAGTTTCTGTGCAGTAAATTGGTGATAATGCTGTAGCTGTATGTGTTCATTTTATTCTAGACGCATAGACTGACAGTCTCTATAACATTATACTGATATATTAAAAATATATCATCAACTCTAGCTAAAACAGCACACGTTACTATATGATGTGATAAATGAATAAGACTAAGAATACGATAAAAGTGTTTACCTTGTACCTTGTAAAGTAACAGAATACAGTACACTACAATAAGATCATATCTTAATAAGTTAACATAACAAAAAATGTAGTCACCCTATTGCCATGAAATAAACCTGACTCAAAAATGTATCGTTGAGATAATGAGCCAGTTGTTTTGAGTGGAATTCAATTTGTGCAGTATTAGGGATATAACTCCAGTTTGTTCCACTGACCATCAGGGGTTCAAATTTTATTTTAATTTAAATTTTTTTGTGTGGGTATTTACTGAGACTACAGATGTAATGACCACAGTTCATCTGATTTGCAAACAGTGCCACTCAATGAGACCTAATGTCGTGTTGTGTCCGACTTTTGACATGTGGTGCTCATGTCTGATAAGTAATAGAGCTTAAAACAAAGTGTTTTCTGCTCCTGAATTGTGAATACTGGGTATAGAGACAATACATTTGGAACTGTAGGTGTATTCATTTGGCACAAGGCTGTATTTGTGGAAATACTAGTTAAATCTCTAAGTCTGGTGTGTGACATTTGGAATTTTATATTGTATTCTGTCCCTACTAGGATGTAGTCAGGATGGCTAGCTTGGCAGATAGCTAAACATGCTATTTAATAAAAATCACAACATCAACAATAAAACAATAAAAGATAATAAGGGGAAAAAAACAGCTTTGCTTCAAGTCTTTTTCAGTGCAAAATAATCACAGTCAACATTCTGGCCACTCCCTTAAAGGGGGCAGCACACAGGTAAACACAAGTAATGCTTTATTTATATATTACTTTTTTTACACAGAGTTACAAAGTGCTTTACAAACAACAAATAAAAACACACAAACATATGTATGCATATATACATATAAATATGTACATGCATAACCATACCCAATCAAACAGACATAGGGAGCATGTAAATACAAACATAAGAAAGACGGAAGGATATGGAATGGAATTGCTTCTACTGATTCCGGTAGAGCTCTTTATGGTTCAGGTCTTCTGAGGGAGCTGACACAGATTCTATCTTCTAGGTTAAAAGCATAGCTGGAGTGAGTACAGTTGGCATGTCTGGATCTGATGACACAGGAACTATTGGCTGAGCATTCATTAGGGCAGCTACTATCTGCTATCAGTGTGATGAGAACTTCATGTGAGAGACTAGGGGAGTGCACCTAAAGCAACATGGCATCTTTGAGCAACCCCTATCATTCTTTCCCACACCCCTCCCATGTGGGAAGAGTGTGGCCTATTGAAGTCCCAAGTACAGCCCTGGTCCTTGAGGTAGGACTAAAGTTGGGCATTTTACGGTATTATTCTAAGTTCCTTGCAGGCACCAACAACATTTGTCCCAAAAGAGCTTAATTGGACCCATGATTGCAGTGAATCCTTTAAGGGCATTTATGGATTTTGATGTAGATAGAGAGACCTCCCCTGGTACAGCTAGCACAGACAGTCTATGGCCCAAATGCATCTAAGCCAGGGGTCTCAAACTCAACTTACCTGGGAGGTAGAGTCTGGGTGAGGCTGGGCTGCATCAAGTATTCCACAAAAAAAGAGTTTCAAGTATTCCAAAAAAAAAAAAGTACAACTGTTCCAATCTTCTCAATCTTTATTAATAACAGTTCAGAACATGAATGGTTCTTCAGGACATAGGCCTCTCTTACCTAGTCCTTATTGCAAGAGATCTGGCAGCGCTTCCTCTTACACAGCTGAGCCACATTTGGCTTGAGGGAGGAAGCAATTGAGACCCTCAGTATGGCTTGAAGATGCTCATCAGTAAGTCTGGACCTGTACTTTGACTTATTAAAGTTCATGGTGGAGAAGAGCTTTTCACACAGATATGTGCTCCCAAAAAGGCACATGGTCTGCTTGAACATCCTGAAAAGCTCAGGGAAGGTGGGGGGCAATTCTATCAAAAATTGTCCAAGCTTGTCTGCTTTTCCACTCACCTCCCTGAACTTGGCTTTGGGTTCAGAATTGCACTGCAGGTCAATTAGCTCCATTTGAAGCACAGGAGGGGCATCTTGCACATCGAAGGAGAAGGGGTCAGCAAAAATTTTAAAAGTGGCTCTGTATCTTGAAGTCTGCAAACCTGTGATCAAATTCCTCCTGTAGCTTTACAATGGCATCAGCATACTTCTCACCACTGAATGGTGTGCCCGCATCCATGAGTGCCTTGCATGGCAGAGGTTTGTCTGAGAGAGCTGGGCTTTCCATAACACAAGTTTTGTGGAGAATGCTCTGACTTGTCATAGGCAGCACTGACAAGCTGCACCTGGCCCTGTATATTCTTGTTCAGTACATTCAGCTCCTGTGTGATGTCAACAATTCTAGAATGTTAGCGCTGCATGAGTGGCAGCTAGTCACAACAGCTCTTAACTTTGTGGATCTCTTTAGTGTTTTTTATAGTGTTTTGTGTTTTTACTGTACTTTTTTTTAAAGGGGACATATTACGCAAAACCAATTTTTTAATCATTTGATTATGTACATTTGGGACTCTGGAGGGCCTATCAGCAGGCAAAGTGTGAAAAAAGATGACTCAGGCCATGATCGGTCACCCTTCTTTCTGAGGGTTGTCATGGCTGTTGTCAGGGCCTATTGAGATAACCATCCTGGCGTTTTCATGTTGTGTTTCGAGAAAAGAGTGCTAGTAGCCATAAAGAAATACATTTTTGCCATGTTTTTAAGAATAAAATGTGATATAAATCAGACTATGAATGATATATGAACAAACCCCCCCGTAAAACCCTTCAGAATATAAATAGTAATGGAACTACAAGGCTAGGTTTATATTATACTATATAAGTGCTAATTAATTGGAGACTTCTGGCTCATAGTATGGGAAAAAAATAATTTTGAGAAAATTCTTTAAAGATACACCAATCAGCCATAACATTATGACCACTGACAGGCAAAGTGAATAACACTGATTATCTCAATACCATGGCACCTGTCAGTGGGTTGGCAGCAAGTGAATATTTTGTCCTCAAAGTTGATGTGTTAGAAGCAGTAAAAATGGGTAGTGTAAGGATTTGAGCAACTTTGACAAGGGTCAAATTGTGATGGCTAGATGACTGGGTCAGAGCATTTCCAAAACTGCAGCTCTTGTGGGGTTCCCAGTTTGCAGTGGTCAGTCACTGTCAAAAGTGGTCCAAGTAAGGAAAAGTGGTGAACTGGCGACAGGAACATGGGTGGGCAAGATGATGCACGTAGGGAGCCTGATGAAGGTGATAGAACACACAGTGCCTATTTGATAAGTGTTACTGGCTGCTTGCATCCTATTGCACTAGACTAGTCCTGCTGTGAGTTATTAAAGTCAGGAAACTGACATTCAAGCAGAAGGCCACTGTAGGAAATGTAAAAAACAACAACAGATTGACTAGGGTAAAGTAACTTCGTATCCATCTCTCTTGCTCACTGTTTTGAGTGTAATTAAGTCCCGGGTTGATCACTGAGCCTCCAGTCACCATTCTAACCTTTACTTACAGAACACATAAAACTAGAACTATAAAGAGCCTTCAGCACTTTATGGTGTAAGTGCAAAAGAAGAGAATAAGTACAGCCTAATGTTAATAACAGTATGATGAGAGTTACAGGTAAAAAAAAAAGGGCGGAGATATTTAAAAAAATAAGCACGCTATAAAATTAGCACTTCCTGTAGATTTTTGGTTAAAACAGGAAGTGAGCATTCCTCCACATTGGTATGTCTGATTGACACCAAGCTTGGGTCCATAGTTTCCCATGTCTTCCTTAGGCATCATGCATAATGATACAGTATTCCAACAAAGCAGCCCCAGCGTATCACCAGTATGTATGAAACTCGGTAGGCACGTGTAACATGCCGAGACCTACAGAAAAGCCTCTTGGACCCATACCCCAAACCCCACTGGAAAGTCGGCCATTTTGATTTTAATTTTCACTTTCAGCGAACTTTTCGCCTTGTATTTGAACAAACTCCTCCTAGGGAGGATCTGCTTCAAAATTGGTCAGTACAGTCAAAAAACATTGCTGATTAAAAGTTGTGCTATTTGTGACTGTACGTTGAAGGGCGTGTCCATTGCTTTCTGTCAAAGTTTTTTTTTTCGCCTTGTATTTGAACGAACTCCTCTTAGGGAATTTATCGGATCTGCTTCAAAATTGGTCAGCACAGTCCAACAACATTGCTGATTAAAAGCTGTGCTATTTGTGACTGTAAATTTAACGGTGTGTCCGTGGCGTGCCGTCAAATTCGGGCATGGTGAAATTTATGGTGATTTTCCGCATTTTTTTGCGTATGTTATGTATTGTATGTGTTGTTGAGGAAAGTTATCTCTTTAAAGCCTTATCCTTGTGTGTTCTTTTAATGAAGCAATAGGAGAAGATTTAGTTTACTCAATAATCAGCTTTATTCTTAACACCAGTAGAATGTGCAAAGTTTACAGAGCTCTGGGTCCAAACTATAGTATCCCTGACAAGCAACAAAGTGTGTGTCAGTTCACGAAGTCCGACTCTCTATCTCTCCCTGACCCAGTGTTTTATAGTACATCCGTGAGAAACGTCACATTAAGGCGTCGTCTTCTTCCCATCAGCTGCAGGTGCCTTCCCTCCTCGTGGTATCTGACTCCAAAAGTCATGCTGACACCTCCGGGTGTAATGTGAAACTTTATTTTATGCAGATAGACATACATACAAACAGACAATACGCCTGTTCTTTGCTACAGATTGACTAACACTCTCTGTTCTCTGCAACAGACTGATTAACAC